GACATGATGAGAATAGGCCGCCATTATAATAAGCCATGGGTTAACAAGTCCTCAACTGCAGGGCAGGTGGAAGACGATGTTAACATTTCAACGGCCGTGAAGGTGGACGGAAGCTACAGCAGCACGATATTTCCAATCGTCTTGGTCTCCTTGCCATTGGTATTCATGGTCCCGCTCTGTCAAGAACTGCGTGGAAGCTGCCGTGCAACAGCGTCTCCACGATAAAATAAATCACGCGCAGGCATCTTTCACGGAAGGGACAACAGCTTCCAGCGCGACACCTTGATCCTTATTCCACGCATTAGCGGCGATCGATCGTATGGAATTAGAAGCAAGCTCGTAACCGGGGTGCGAAACCCGCCTCTCGCAGAGCGCCGTCTCCCTGCTGCTGCTCCAGTGCCCACCGAGGCGGTGCCTCTTCTCTGTTCGCACCCCAGGGTCCTTCCAAGCGGTGTCGATTCTTCGTCCCCCACAACGAGAGACCGTTCTCGTAGTTGTCGACCCCAAAGGGGACATTGGGGTTGAGAATCTTCGTGTCATTCATAACTAAATAATGAAACGCATTGAAGCACGTTTCCCCGTACATAACCGGTTTTTTTAATATTCATATTCTTAGCTCTTTCGGTAAAGTCACGTTGAAGGGAAACAATAAAATATATATAAAACAATACAAAATCTCACGACGTTTCGACCATAACACAAACGGTCATCGTCACTTTCACGAAGGACAATCAATCAGGTGTATTGTAAAACACCAGGTCTATTATTCCACGTTGGTTGGCTCTTGTCCAACACAGGATTGTGTTTCTATCATTTATGTTACACTTTCCATTGATGTGTAAATCATATCTATCATTCTATCCAGATGCCAAAGGTATACTGGAAAGCTGCGGGGAGTCCTGTAAATGTGTGTTTTTTGGCCTTATTGGGGGGTCTAGGTGTCCCAGGATGTTGCTGCTCGAGGGAGATTTCTGCAGGCTGTGGTTGGTATGTCGCCAAAACACCAAAGTAGGTCACCGAATGGCAAATGCCGTGTAATGTCCTCTATGGATGTTAAAAAAAACATTTGAGTGGAGTGAATGATATGCATTAGTGACACTACCCTTGGGAAGAACATGCATTTATTTCCTTTGCAGTAAAAAATTAATTTGTCAAAGAGAATATCCTGGACTTTCACGTGGACTTGTGTTCATGTATAAAAGCCTTTCATGTGGGTGTAGGGCCGATGATAAAATGTTAATCAAATAACTGCATTGGTCATAAATAAACTGAGTCAATCAGTAATTCTTACGAGGTTTTTGTTCAAGGCTGTATGGCAAATAGATTGATAAGTTGCCTTGGCTGGTTTTTTGTAATATCTCCTCTCATGCAATGGGTTTGCTCTGGTCGCACCTAAGCTCCTACCTGGTTATATAAGTCATGATCTTCTGCTGATACTACACTCGGATTTTTGTCCTGGCATCTTCACGCCTGCAATATGACCCCAAATGGAATCAGTGAGACATCCCAATATGTAACGCTCCTCCTAGAGTCTTGCGCTAAAGCCATGCTTTTGTGGTTAAAGGAAATAAGGTAATCATTGCTCATATTATTTTACCAGCTTGGAGTTCACTGAAACCATCTGTCTCTCTCAGAGGAGGCCTTGCTAAAATAAGTGAGCAAAGAAGTGGAATGATTGCAGCAGCGTCACTAAGGCCAAACATAAATGTGCAAGAGATAAAATGCAAAAGTTTATATAACATCGACACCACCAAAACCCTCTTAAAAGCAATGTACGTGTTGTAACATAAATTAATTGAAAAGTAAAACCGTGAGTGCTACCACTGCTCTATTTGTATGAAACTACGGCTTAAGTTGGCGGATGTGATGGATCTCCTTAACACCTTCAAAAACATTCACGGCTGGCATTGCTGATGAGTGCTGCAATTTGTGAGACTAAGGGGAATTAAATCCCAATCAGGAGTGAGCTCAGCCCGATTTCTACCTGTGGTCATGGAGATGAGTACCGCTTTATGGGAATTTGACGATACAGAGCCCCTTAACAGTAATTTGGAATTTCCACTACCAGCGGTTGCGTAAATATACTTGAAAAATAATGTCTGACCTGGTCCACTTGGTACACGTACTCCGAGCAGATGAGGGCTCAGCGATTGGACAGTGTCCTGATCTTTCAAGGATCTGTGAACTTCTCAAACATTCCAGCCTGGTTAAACCCAGGATGGATCGTAGGCAGGCTAGCCTGAATGTTTCAAACTGGCGCAGATGTTCCTTTAGACAGCTCCACGTTGCGAAAATACAGAGAAGGCATAGCTGTGGCCGAGCAGACCCGGAATCAAGAATATGAACCCGGAGCTTTGTTGGGAGCGACAGGCCAGGTAGCTTCCACACAGCATTACGGCAGATGATAAACCAGAGCTTGTCATTAGCACACTGCCCAAGTACGGAAAACATATCCCCCACAGAGCCAAACAAATAAAACTATCACGTGGCGTACAAACATTTTACAACGTGCCAGTTGCTTTTTTTTCTTCCACTCACCGGTGAGTTAAAGAACAATTCTCAACCAAATTTTGCCAAATAAAATCTCGGAAAGTCATGGATTTTATCTTGACATCCTCGAACTGGCCTTGACCCTGGTCACTCGTCCCACCCTACCCCTGCTCAACACGAGGATGTTGCTGCTGCTGCTGCTGCTTCGTTAGTTAGCGGCCGTGCGCTGCGCTAAATTCTGCTGCTGCTGCTGTTTGACGCACGCGAGCCATGCGCAGCAGCAACGGCGGCAGAGTGCTGGCAGCATTAGCATGCTGCAAGCACAGGTGCTCGGGGCCCGGTATTGATGGACTTGTTCCTCACCCTTCCATCTCATTGATTGTATCCAATTAAGGGAAATTACTCCTTAATACTTTCTGGTATGATGTTAGCAGGGACTTGTGGGTGTTATTTTTCCTGGTTGTAGAGGGAATGGATGAGCTTGTTTCAGGTGTTTTATTTTAATTTAATGGGTTTTTTTGATTGCCTCCTCATGCAGATGCGCGTGCTTCGGTCGCCAAACGCGAGACGCGCTCATTTGCCTGGATGCGTTTCGAGTCGGCTCGTGCATCCACCTTTGTCACTGTATTTCAGGACACTGGAATATCCTTTGTTTGTCACTGCGTGAGCGTGCACACAAAGACGATGAACCCAGCGGCCCGCTTAGCCGTATAGATTTTTGGGTGGGTGCTGTTAAGGCCGGCATGACACCCAGCGCCTAGCCCATTCGCCCATACCTGCTCAGTATTGCTTTTGACACCCTAAGTACTTATTTGAGTTTAATTTGACCACAAGAAGGTGCGGGCTAGGGTTCACAAGCTCATTTGTATTTGCTGTGGGTGGTTTAGAATGTAACCCGAGCCATAAAGAGCATGCTAGCGTTTGTAAGACCCATGCACAAGGACACATTTCTACAATTTCACCTTATATGCACCATAGCATCAAGTGGTGTTAACAAGTGTCTGTTAAGGTCAGTATAGCCACAAAGGGTGGTGTTGCCAGCATCTCTCTGTAATGCCATTATCTTACCAGAGCTAACGTTTACACACCGCTCAAGGGACTCGTTTTAGGTTGGGTTGATCCAGAAGAAGCATGTTCCACTTTCATATACCTCATGCCGATATTGTACATTACTGAAAGTCGATCCTCAGCGTCTGGGATCATAGTATAGTGCGCGAAACACGTGCACTTAGAAGCCGGGTGAATTGTTGAAGGCTCGCTCGCAGGAGTCCATACGACAGGCCAAGCTAGGTGGAGACCAGGCTTTTTTGTTGGTTTGCATGGGTTCCATTGTAGGTGCCTATCCCCACAGTCGAAGCAACACATCTAACAGATCAGCTCCACAGTCAGTCCAGATGTTAAAGAGGCATGAACATGCATTGACTGTTATGTCGATATATAGTCAAGCAGAGGTTCTTGATTGGACCTTTGGTGCATCAAAGGTGGTGATGTGTCCACGGGCCAGTGATAGATCAGCATATTGCTCATTACAAGCCCATGAGCTGCACCACAATCTAGAAGTCTCTTGCTGTTAGTGGTGAGCTCATCTGGTCCATGTTTTCCAGTCTCCCCATGCCCAAGTGCAAGCGTCTTGACGGACTCAGGCTTTAAAGTCACCCAAAAAGATGACTCTCCTGATGGGTCATTTTAGCAAACAGCCGGGAGATGTAATCAAAGGCATCTTACCCATCAGCATTTGCCCACGCCTCTTCATGGATGTCCACCTTTGGTGGGGGCATTTGCAACCACCACCAGCGTTCATTTCTCCCTGTGTATGGAAAGGCAAGGGTACAACAGCCTGGGACTCGCAACCTCCCGCACGTTACCGCAACACTCCCAGGCCCTCTCCATTATTTTATTTTGAAGGAGAGGCACTCCCTGATGTTTGTGGTCCTGCCACAAATAGAGGACTGTCCACCCCTCATGGTAATAGGTATCAGCCGGACCTTGTGAGTTTCTTACACAAACAAAGACAAAGATCCCCCGTATAGGTTTCACAGACTTTTGGGGCAAGTGTTGTTGGTGAGCACCTATGAAGGCCACCATGGCACACAAGGGAGAAGGTAGCCAAAATCATGCCCGGCTGCCTTTGTCTCCCTAGTGGCGATGTTTACACGCCGCACCAGGTACTCCTGTGAGGCCGAGTCGACCTCGGGAAAGCCCAGGTCCAGTTCAGATAATCGCCACTTTATGTTTGCCGTGAGCGTGAATTGAATTTGCGTTGCCAGGTTCGTAGCGTAGCGTGCTAACCGCTTAACACATAGACATGTACACACACACAGATACACACATGGACAAATACAACCTCACGATCAAGTCTATATTTTTTTGCTTGATTTAACCATTGCCTCTCAAGTGCGCGTGTTCGTTGTATGTATTTATTTATTTTGAACTTCTTCCGTGCCGTACGTAGCCAATCGTACTAATCAGATGCCTGGGCTCACGGCGTGTGTGTGTGTCTGATCACCCAGGCTCTACGAAGACAAAGACAGGGAGGAGTTTGAGGACTCCCTGCGCGAGCTCTTCAAATCTATCAACAACATGATGCGCAATACCCAGGACTCCACGCTGCTCGTGCAGGTGATGCCCTTTTTCTAATCGCTGCCTCCTTGCTTTGGGTGACAGCCGGGTTCGATATCCGTCGATGTTTGAAACATGGCACGCATTAATCCGCACTCTGTAGGACCATGTCGCTGTGCCGGCAGATGAGCAGAAGTGGCGGCTAAACCCCTTGGGTGTCATATCACTGCACTTTTAGACACGTCAGCGGTACCGGTCGGGGGGTGTTGTGGCAGAATGCCCCGCTGGCAATCACAGGATCATGAAATCATTTCCCAGTGGAGTTAGCTTGACCCATTATCTCCCTCTGGTATCTAAATTAAATACCACTTTGTAGTAAGTCCACAGTGGTTGTCTCGTCAGGAAACCGGCCATTGACGTAGGAATGTCGGACGTTCGGGGCTCAGGACTGTCGGCTGAGATCCACACTGCCCCCGTGGCTTTGTTGAGCAGAGAGATGCTTTGATGTGAAGAGTGTCCCAAGTGTTTGGTTCATTCCGCAGCAGCATCCCCGTCATGCCACGTGGTTCCCTTAGGTTCCAGCGCCACTGCACGGTAGTGCCAAACCTCCCGCTGGCTGCGTTCGGGAGCCAAACGTGTCCGCTCACAGTTTACTGTTTTTAATTTGCACACGGAAAATAAACGTTCAAATCATCGGCAGGTGGGTGCGCAGGGAAGCATTCACTTGCGCAGCCAATGAGATGGTTGTCTCAGTCAACAAGATATTGTCTCTCCACTGAGGACCGTGCAATTGTTTGGCGTTGGGATGCGCATAAAGCTTGGTGGATGCTGGTAATTGCTCGACACGTAATTACTCCCTGTCGCACGTATTACTCCCGAGTGGAGGAAATATAATGGGCATTGGAATAATGAAAAGCAAAAGGTCAGAGTGTCTTTGTGCTCAAACAAACAGGGGGCTGTGGGCGTCTCTGTTGGAGGCATATTAAGCCAGTGGTGTAAATTCCACATTTATATTGCAAGGACCGCTCTCTTTCTCTCTTGCAACCAAGGTTGGCTTGTCAAAGAGTTGGGCTTGGTTTTTTACAATATTGGAGGTATGTGGATTCAGACGAACGCCGACTGGGATTTTAAATTGCGACCTTCCAATTTCAAATGTGACATTGACCACATGTCAGATAAATTATGTAGAGGTAGAGAAATGTGTTTTTGCCAAGAGCACGCCAACCTGCTCTTGCTCCCCTATCATTTATTCATTTTGATATTGGGACCTTGGAACGAAGCGCAACAAACGAATGTGCCTAATAATTCCGTTTATTCACACAGTGATCACCGACATGCTCTGAATGTAGACACTGGAACACCATTCCAGTGCCCAGCCCTCGGGGAACTCGGCTCGTGCAATTTTTTTTTTGTTTACATAGGCATTGATTTAATACACACGTAACATCTCTGTGGCCGTGCTCGTCACCATTTTAAGTTCCCTGCTTAGGCGCGACGGCTGGCTGGGAGAATCTTTAGCGATCCTGCTCTTAAAATCCAGCAGGCGTTAGTGTAAACACGTTTCGCAATTCTGGCTAACCGCCTGATGACGCTGGTTGTTGTAATCATCAGCGAAATGTCACGGTACTCGAATTGTAAATGTTGTAGTGGGTTTACTCTCCCAACACACCGTTGTGCCGAAGTGATAACTTACGTAACAAGCCTTGCTAATTGGCTGTGCCGGGTATTGGCGGGATTGACGACACAACTATATTACGGATAATACTGGTCGCGAAAGCCCGTGTGTTAAACTGACGCTGGGAAGCTAGTTACAGCGCTTTTAATCTTTGTACGATGTTACCGGTCACGACGTATGGTTTGGGAAATAAGGACACCGACAGAATATGGAACAAAATCTGAAAGGTGCAGAAAGAAGCGTAGAGAGGGTGCATTCTTGGAACAGCATTGAGAGACAGAAAGAGGGACACGTGGATCAGAGACATCAGATTGATCGTTAAGAAAGTCATTGGGCTTGGGCAGGACACACATCATTAGAAGGGTGATGGCCGATGGTCGAGATTAAAGGCAGAGCGGTAGCCAAAGGAGAGGACCGCCCCAAAGAGGATGACCACTGCGGAGATGGGGCAATGAGATCGGCTCGCGTGCGGGAGATGGATGGATCGTTACATTGTAAGACCATTCGAGAGGTTGACGGCTTGGAGAGGCGTTCATCCAGCAGTGGATAGACCACAGCTGATGATAATGACAGAATTGTAGACCTTGATATTTTGAGTTTCTTGTTTATGTGTCAGATGTTGCCAGAGTAGTGTGTTAATGAGCTCTCTGGTGCCACTTGTTCTCCAGTGGATTATAAAGGATTGAGGATCTTAAAAGGCTTTTCATCTCCTTTCATGACGCACACTCCATTCACAATGCCATGCCATCGCAAGGCTTGTTTTTGGGCTCCAGGACAAACAAATGAATGCATTGACAATATTGGTTTTACGAATAAGCTATCGGGAGGTTGCACAAGCTATTGAGAGGTTAGCAAAATTGTTCTTCCGAGGAAGTGAAGAGTGTAGTCACTTGTTAAAGGGATAAGCCAGTTGAACTGGAACAGTTTTTTTGTTTCCTTCCTCATCATACAGTCACAAGTAGGGATCATTGCTGGCAGAATGTGGAGATTGCTCATGCATGGCGTTTATATTAAACTGCGACATCTATGGGCCCGGTGTCCCTGTCAAAAAATGCGCGAACAAAAAAAGTTTTGAAATATTGCACTGTTACAGTCGGTGTGACACGAAGCCAACCCAATACTGTCACATCTCGAGAGAAAATGTTTGCGTGCCATGAATGCTTTATGCACGGCGCACACGACATCACAACAGCAGCGTTGACCTGCAAGAAGAGCCAGCGGTAAAGAATGAACGAATCGTCATACTCGGCTCTCACCTGAAGAAAAACACCTCACGCACGGGTTTCCCTGGTCAAGTGAACGTCAGGTGAACGTCAAGTGAACGTCAGGTAGTCCTCCTCTTTCCAAGAAGCCCTGAGCGAGCGGTGGAAATTCCACGTTCCTATTGCGGGGGGGACCAGTTTGGCCCACAGCAAGAGCCACTGTCATTTGCCATTAAGGCACTTCTTACTGAGGATGATCAGTACGGTCAACGCTTCCATCAGGCACTCTCTGAACTGTAGCGCAACTCAGATTGATGGACTTCAAAGAATCGACTGCAAATTCACAACGTGTTCTTTGTATCCTTTGGCAGTAAAACGTTGCCGCTGGTATCTGCAGCATACATCTTGACTTAACCCCCAAACATTTCCGGTCACTAGTGCCAGTACGGGGCCTTCATTGTACTCGTTGCTACGACATGAGAGAGAGGAAAGCCCGCTGCCGCATACATTATCTGCTTCCTCGCTGTCGCGTGGTCGAGTGAAAGGCTCAAATTAATTCGAAGGATTCTCCTGCTGCAACTGCCGTCACTGGTTGGGCTGAAACCCTTAAACTCGACCGTGCTTTTCGCAGACTTTCAGGAGGGGAGACAACCTCTGAATGTACACTTGCTCGTGTTCGCAATGAGCCCAAAATATCAGATCAAATGGTTTAGACTGCCAGTACTCTATTTTTCAATTATTAAACTATATATATTTTTTTACTAGATAAGGCCCACTGAGCTATAAAGTTATTTTTCAGAAGCGACCTGGCCATAAATTATAGCTCAGCGAAGTGGCTTATCATGTGGAAATGTATAGCTACCAAATACTCTAAACGCGTGTTTCTAAATGTGTAGGGAAAAACCGAAAGAGCTGGAGAAAAAACCACGCGAAAAACCACGCGATCCAAATATACAGCAGGCGTCAGGGTGGGATTGAACCCACGACTTCCTGCATACCAGGCGAGGTAGTTAACATCTCGCCACAATGGGGCGCCGCGGTGGTGAGATGCTCTGGCAGAACGTGCTTGCTCCCTCGCGGACCTCGCACTCGCCTCTGTCGCTCGCTTGTTTTAAGATCTTCCAGCCGGCAGATTGCCAAGTTTCAAAAGTTGCTGTTTTACACCTTGCTCCCGGAAAGTTATCTGATAAACTTACCAATTTCACGTTGAATGGCTTGGCTCTCCTCTAACATACGGGGGAGATGGAAACGTACAATGCGAGCAATTTCGTTTCATTTTGGGGCGTATTGCCTTCCAGTTACTGCCCGTAAAACATGGACAATATCAACGGAGCTTTGTCAAGTTCTCTCTATTCGATATCCGCTCTCCTATTGGCGGCGCCGCGGTGCATTACCAAAGCGCGCTGTTAGTGCGAGCGCGAGGCTGGCTCTTGGTAAATGCTGCGCCCTCGAGCGGAATTATTACACTGATTATGCAGCCGTCACTGCTCAGGAATTTGTCTCAAGCTAGCGCACTCTAATTTGGTTCCCGAAGATGGAGTCATTCCTAGTCACGGTAATAACAGGTATTGCAATCGTTTGAAGGTTTGTTCGTCGTAGCTGTGGCGAGTGAAAAGCATAAAAAGTGATGAGGGTTGTCAAAATGAATATTAAGCTCCGGAGTGTTGCTGCTTTTATATTTCTCAAACAAAATTTTTTTGACAGACATGAAATATAATAAACACTTCAGGCTTTTGATCACGAGAATATAAGCAGTTCGCTTGAATATTTGTAAACACCGTGTACGTATGAATAATAAAAATAAGTATTTTACATAACCGTTTTCAATTCTGTATGCTGTACTTTTTTTAAGGAAATTAGAATTCCCATGTATTGGCAGATTTGTTGATGAAAAAATGCCCCTGGCTCAATCCAATAAAAATGCAAAATGTTTAATCACACCCCATGTCACATTTCAAGTTGAATACGCATTAAATCGTGTATATGCGACACATATAAAATTTATGATTGCTTATGTTTATATCGCGATACCAGAGAAACTTTCAGATTATTATTTTTTACGTATGACGGTGACCTTAAAATAATTCCACATTCCGTGTCTACTTTGACCATGAAAGAGAGGTGTTGTTTCACCGGATTAGCATCTCCTCAAAATCAAAGTGTCTCCTTGGGCACCCAAGCTTTTGGGTGGCGATTAAATAAATTGGTGATCGTGAGCCGGTCATGGGAAGTTCCACGTTACTATGGTAGGGGGTCTAGTTTCTCGAAGCAGTACCAAATGCATTGACCCCGAAGAGATACGAGGGTGAGTAGACGCTCAACTGGGATTTGGAATCCGTGTAGAGTGCTTGCAAAGTTTCACATGTGTTTTTTGCTAAATCCCATTTTCAAACTTAAACGACTCGCATTTTCCGAGTAAACACATCTCCAAAAGGGGCTTGGGTTGATTGTTTAGTCTGAACAGGTGTGCACACATGGCGATGGTTAAGCATTCATCAACTCCTAGTACATTATTGCCGCCGTCTTTTGCCAAGGACAACTCGGCGTCCTGACTAAGCAGACCCGTAGTGCCAGCAGCAATCACCGAGGACATTGTTCTCGCAGCAAAGTTTTGCGGAAATGTGCGCACGCGTCCGTTAATTTGCCCTGCCCGACTTTCGCAAAGCGCTCTGCGCAGTGGCCGTCGCTTCAGGAGTTGCAAGTGATTGCTCAGGATAGGAGACTAACCCCGGCCTTCGTAATAAGGCAATGCAAATTCTCAATGAAATAAATAAACACCAACGCTCACGTTCTGCTTCCCGCCCTTCCGTAGCGCCCGACCGCCCCCTCTGACCGACAGACGGGACACCGCTCTGTGTGTGTGTGTACATTTACATATCGTTAATAAAACATCACTCTGGAGTTGGGCTTGCACGCAGCAGTAATGGAAGCCAACAGGGTTTTTCATTGAACAGCAATATCACGGGTGATGGACTGGGGAGGTTTGCGCACAGCGCTGCATGCTGATCATACACTTATCCACGGTCAGACCCTGGTGCACCAGTGCCTGCTAAGGTTATGCCTCCCGAACTTGAACGCTACAGGATGACCTTAACACCATGTGTATGTATTTTAGTTACCAGTTAATGTACCCCTCACCGAATAACGGCCCATCCACCCCCCACCCCCCCCCCCCCCCAAGTGTAGACCACGAACCCACACACTCTGCTTTTAAAAAATATTTGCATGTGCACGTCACGTGTTTGCTGCGTGCGATGTCGGTCGATATCCTGGGACACCCACGCAAACGAGATGTTCTATCTGAAGATTATTGTGTGCATAAAAAATACTTTGATAAAAACAATCCGAATCAAAGTCCGGCCATCTCCTCCTGGCCACTTTTTCAGCTCAGCAGGTTTTGGAAATCTCACAACCTGCACCTTAAGTTTGTTGTCCTTCCCCCGCCCTGCACCACCGATTACCACGGTTGGCTCGGTACGATTATATAGAAGTTCAACATACAGACGTGCGTCCGTCCGCCACCCCTAGCAATCCACACGATGGGATTGCTGGCTCCGTTTGCTGCCTGCTGAGCGTGCACCTGCTGCTGATCGCTGTAATCAAGTCTAAGTGCGTCCCTTCTCGATTGTTCGGCAGTGCGGCTCCCATCTCCATCGGTGGCTTTAGGCCAGTGGTGGAAGTCCCAGCATGTCAACGGTTGGGGGGCCGGGCTTTCGTTCAATTGCCGTTGACCTCCCACACAGTGGTCGTCAGTTTAACGACCCCATGCGGATGTTGGTCTAAAATTGCTCACCACGCCCCGCCCCCCGACTGGGATTTGAACTCTTGACCTTGTGACTTGAGTCAAGCTCACTACTCTCACCACTAGTGAGTTAAGCTCACTGCACTCACCACTGGGTGGTCAAGCTCACTACTCTCACCACTAGTGAGTTAAGCTCACTGCACTCACCACTAGTGAGTCAAGCTCACAACTCTCACCACTAGTGAGTTAAGCTCACTGCACTCACCACTGGGTGGTCAAGCTCCGCCACTCGACGTGTGCGATATACGACATGTGTACGTTTGCTTTTGTTCTCCTGCCACACTTGACTCCTTGTGTCCCGCGTGTGTGTCTCGCAGGGAGCAGCCATGAAGTATCTGCCTCTGATCGTGCGCGACGTCCGCGGTGTGTTTCATCTGACGGAGCTCAGGTGCGCCGCTTTAATTGATCAACGTCGTTTACTGAAAATCCGTCGACAGTGCAATCTCGCGGCGCTTATCTACTGCGTGAATCTGTTAAAGTGAAATTTGGAAGTGTTGCCGACCTGTGATGGGTGGATTCTGGGTGGAGGGAGGGGGCAGGTGGGCGGTGGAGACCTTTGACATCTCAATCAATCAGCCGCTCATTCGAGCCACGGATCTCTGCAAGAAGCGGCGAGCGCACCACCGCTTGGCCAAGACACCGTGCCCCGTTTGACCGTGCGCTGCCCGTTTGTTAAAGAATCCTTGAGCCACCGGGAAAACATCTGCTTTTGGTGTCAGAAGATCGTGACGGTTACTTTGTGAGCCGGTCACCCAGCTAGGGGCTCCCCGCGCAAGGCGCACCCCAGCGGCTCGGAGCAATTAATGGCGCCGAATTGTGTGTTGGATAATTCGCGTTCATTATCTATTAATGGATCGGTTCATTGGCCATTCAAGCCAATTCCAGAGCGGGTCCACCCGATCAATTGTAATGCGATTCAGATAAATTCGGGCTGCTAACGTGGAAAGTGCCTATTGAGCAGTGAGGAGAGTGCATTATCTGGCAGTGTATTGAGTGGCTGCTCTGACACCACAGTTCATGGGTTACCAACCAACATTGCTGGTTGCCTGCGCAGGCATGCCTGTATGTGCGCTTAAATTGAAACCAAGCCAAAGGTTTATATTTTGCTGAACAGACCAAAGGGGCAAATTATGCAGCAAGAATTTCCCAAGCCTGGCACATTATAAATCGGAATCCAACCCAGGTCACGGGCTTGTAATGCAGTGCATTAACCTTTGCACAACTGTGCCCCACGCGCAGAAAGACTGCTAGGAGTAAGTGCTGTTAGTGAGCGCCTCTAAAGGCCAGCATAACAGCACACAAATAGCTGCTGTGGCCAGCAAGAGTCTCCCCAGTACTGACACGTGTGACTTGCTGTAGAAGGTCGTCATATAAAGCTCAGTCACGCATGGGGATGCCCAGGACAAAGTCATATGCCATTGTCCAATGAGGTTGCATAACGTGACCTGGAATCGAACTTGAGTGACTGACATGGTAGTGCAGTCATATGCCATTGTCCAATGAGGTTGCATAACGTGACCTGCAATCGAACTTGAGTGACTGACATGGTAGTGCAGTCATATGCCATTGTCCAATGAGGTTGCATAACGTCACCTGGAATCGAACTTGAGTGACTGACATGGTAGTGCAGTCATATGCCATTGTCCAATGAGGTTGCATAACGTGACCTGGAATCGAACTTGAGTGACTGACATGGTAGTGCAGTGCACTTACCATTGTGTCATCTCTCTTCCCATTATACACACTTTCTCACAAATTCCGCTGGCACCTTTGCAGATATTGTGTTTCGCTGAAGCCCACATGGCTTGACCGTTTCTCCAGCATTAGACTTCGTGGGTGTGGAAGGGGGAGGATAATGATATTGATTATATTTAAACTTTCCACCTGTATAATTCCTTGAGATGCAGCATCTCATTGTTTTATTTGTTCTGATTGCTCTCCGTCATTGCTGTTATTTGTTTTGTTCGATTTGCTTTTGTCACTGTGGCAACCCAGGTCAGTCTTGCAAATGAGACTCATCCTGGTCTCTTGAGTTGTCACCACCTGGTTTGACAGAATCTAATCGAACACTTGAAAGGGTGTCCACCGTGCTAATTGTCACATACATAGCAAACAAGACAAAGATTCCCCGTATAGTCTGTAACAGACTGTTGGGGCAAGTGCTGTTAGCGATCACCTATGTAGGTCGGCCTGGCACACGACGGGCATGGTGGCCAGCACCACGCCCGGCAGCCTTTGTCCCCCCAGTGGTAATGAGTTTTACACACCGTACCAGGTGCTTATTTGAGGCTGAGTCGACCTAGGGCAGGCCCAGGACCAGTTCAGATAATTGTCACTGTGTGTGTTGGCCATGAGTGGGAATCGAACTCGGGATGCCGGGTTCGTAGTGCAGCGGAGCGCTAACCGCTACGCCACCACTCCCCACCAACCACACGCGCATATAAATGATTGAGTTCTGTAACTTATACGGTACGCATTTATACAATCAATATCACACGGCGAAACACACAAATAAATATTACAATGCCTTCCATGAAGTTAGCCAGAGCCACAACACGGCCGCAATAATCTGGGGAATTATTGGCGGCAATCCGCGTACATTTTGAAGGGGCAGCTGAACAATGCCGTATGAGATTTGTGTTTTGTATTTTTATAAACACAATAAGAGACAATAATCGCATAACAGTCTGACATCTGTGGTGACGCTCTGTTCGTGGTCTTTGCTATTGCATTATTGAAGTTTTCAAATGACTCTTCGCTGTGTTTTCTTTGTGGGGATCCTCGTGAGATTGCCGTAGAATGCATTGACTTTTCCCTTCATTGTCACCGCTGCAGCTTCGTCGTTCCTCTGTGCTACTGCCGTGCCGCTGGCATTGTGGTATTGAGTCCTTGGCGCACAATTGGAAGGTCACAAATTCTACGTTTCATTGGTCGTTGTTGCCTTAGTCTCTCACCCTTTCTCCTGGGTGTATCTAAAATGAGTGCCAATTTTTAAGAAGTCGGCAGTGAGTATCATTTGGAAATACTCGTCCTCGTCTTAGGAAAGTGGCATTTCCACCACTGGCTCAGATCCATCAGTGCACATGAATACCACCACATGTTAATTTTAGCAGTGAGACACCAGCGAAACACTCGGTGCGTCTTAAGACTCATTCTGGAGGGTCCTGCTTTGCTGTTGTTTGACCCGCCAATGAGCGTTGATGCACGCGAGATGGAACCGTAGTATCCAGAGAACACTTTTAGGGCGATAGCAATGAGAAATCTACACAGACAGGTCAGCAGCCTACTCGCTGTACAGTTATCTCTCAGCGACTCAGCAGCCCTCTCTGGGACTCGGCGGTGCTGCCTCTGAAGAACGAGACTACTGGTGCTTGTCACCATGTCTGGCTCTTCCGGGGGTGGGGGGGGGGGGGCCTTACACCTTTCTGCGGGCCAACTGAGGTGCAATTATATTATTTGTCGTTTATAAGATTGACGCATCATTGGGCCGTCTCTCTCACCCTGCAGCCACCTGTTCCAGGAGTTCATCAGGAACATCCCGCAAGAGCGGCTGACCAAGCAGAAGCTGTGCTGCATGACTGAAATGGTGTACAGGGACCTGTTTTTGCACAAAGGTAGAACGCACAAGCACGCTCAGAGCCACATGCTCTGCACACTTTTCGCTGGTGGTTTACTGCACCGATTGGATGAATCTGTTAATTGTAGCACTCTGACTCATGAACACGAGGGTAACGAATTTAAATCCTGCTCGGGGTTGGTCACTACATAACCTTGATGGGGTTGTCAAAATGAGTAACACTGTGGGATGTCAAAAGGGCCTGTCCTTTGGATGAACTAGCCCTAACCATTGAACCATGGAATTAGACACTTCACGTGCCCTTAAAGTGCGCAGTAGCGTGGCACACGCACCGTGGTGAAGTCACCGCCACTTAGTGGCGAATGGCGGCTGTTGTTGTTGTTGACGGCGCCTCGCTCCCTCCCTGCCACCCCCCGTGTGCAGAGTGCCGTGACGTGCTGCTGCCCATGATGACGGAGCAGCTCAAGTCCTACCTGGAAAAGATGGAGGAGCTGGAGCCTTGCGTGCAACTGCTCAGCAACGTCCTGGAAGTTCTGCACCTCAAAAACGTGGTAAGTGCCTCCACACCGCCTCCTCGTCACCGTGGGGTTTACACGAGGCGCAAGCGCCTGGGTAAGCGGTGCATTCGGATTGCCGCTGCGACTGTCGATGCTTTTTCATCCTCACCGTCGTCCTCATTAGTTTCAGCAGCAGCGTTGTTAATCGGGATTTACCAATGCATTGATTAATACGTTTAAATCAATTGCCATGCTCATAATATGTGCGTCAAATCGCGCACGTCACAATTAATTATTTTTTTTTCGATTTAAAGCTTTCGTGACTGCAAGGATTCATCTTCTTTGGTTCTTTCGGTAAAGTCACGTAGAATGAGAATAAAATAATAAATTGATAAAATAAAATAACACAATAATGTTCTCACGGCGTTTCGGCCACAACACAAGCGGCCTTCATCAGGTGAAGGGACGAGACCGTCTGGAGGACAGCGCTGGAGTCACTCCTGTCTGGAGGACAGCGCTGGAGTCACTCCAGCGCTGTCCTCCAGACAGTCTCGTCTCTTCACCTGATGAAGGCCGCTTGTGTTGTGACCGAAACGTCGTGAGAATATTATTGTGTTATTTTATTTTATCAATTTATTGTTTTATTCTCATTCTACGTGACTTTACCGAAAGAACCAAAGAAGATAATTATTTTTTGTTCGTGCCTGTTATGTATAATTGGTTCGTGTGACCTCCAAGGCCACTTGATGTGCTACTCTTGCCGTACTGTTGTGGTAAAAATAGACTGTTTGATCAAATCGTGACCTCAAATCGTGACAAGTTGCAAAGTGTTATGTTCCTACTTGTTTCAGCGTCATCATTATCATCGTTGTCTTCATATAACCGTGGTTATCTTCATCATCCTCATCAGTACGGCAAGTGGCAGCAGCATTAGGACTGCAGCATTCTCATCAGCAAAAGCATTATCATCATCATAATAAGTAATTTAATGTGGCTACTATATGGAGAAACTGGTCACCACCATGGGAATATGGAATTTCCACAGGTGGTTGAGGGCCACCAAACAGAGATGAGAACTGTCCAATGCTCATTGGAGACGCCTTCACTGATTTGAGGCACGTGTCGCTATCAGCGGAGAAGCCATCGAGGCGGTGCAAATATAAAAACGTAGGATGAATAGAGGCATGGGGGAGGGTAAAATGGAACGCAAGAAAACTCTTAAAAACTGAATAAAAATAATTGACGAAACGGCATGCGACCGATAACACTGCGGCAGCGTTGCGTGTCACCGAGCCTTCAGACCAAAGAGACGCGGCGCGCTGTCTTTTCTGTCCTCCTGGGCGAGATAATAGCGGTGTGCATACGTGCCGGCAAGTCGATGTGAACGGCGGCGTCGAAACGCGTCCAGACGTGGCCTCGCGAGGCTGCCGTGCCTCGGGGGGGCCGCGGGTGGGAGGGTGTTGGTGGGCGGGGGGGAAGGGGGGAGGCGGCGCGGCCCTCGACGCGCCGCGTTGGCCGCTCTGTGGCTCCACTCGCCTTTGCCCCCCCCCCTCTGCCCCCCCCCCCAAGCTCCTCGGCATCGTAGCGATCGCCGGGCCGCCGGTTGGCCACGTCCGGAACGGCGTGGGATGCGAGCGAGCGGCAGGTGGCCCGTGAAGCCCCGCGGAGCGATTGACATTTTACTGGCGACTAATTGCGTAGATCGGCAAACCCGGTTTGTTGTATTCACTGAAAAGAAATGTCTGTAGAACAAAACAACAGCATATGGAAATGTTAAAATGAATGCATTCTTGGATACAATTAGTATATATTTTTGTGGGATTTCAAAAATAAATTCACAACAAGGGAGGGACCGGTTTCCGGCCATGGAAATGTGGAATTTCCAATGCTGGCTCGGGGTCACCAGTAGAGGCTAGTACCTCCAATGTGCTCATTTGAGCATGGGGTCATGCTTAATTTTATTGCGGTTAAGCATATCACTTTGTATACATCATCGGTGATTGTCCTTCGGATAAACAAGCCCTCTCCATAGGAATTTGGGAACAGATGGAACTCGGCCTGGAAGCCAGCTTGTCTAGCTGGGGCATGGAAGTTGGGTTCTGGTTTGGGCACTGCAAGAGGTGATGCTCTCGCATGCCTGCGCAGTTTCAGTAATGGTTCCACCACTGTCAGCAGTTCTTCAGCAGCGCTTGCTGTTAAACAGTTTTTAATTGTGTTAGCTGTGCTATGTAGGGCAAGGCAAAGTCAGGTCGAAGCATCACTCTGTGCCAAGAGCAGCGGTGCAGCTTTCGTCTTCATAAGCACCGAGAGGTCGGTCACTAAGACAAAGGTTTAGGACTGTAAGAGCAGACCTCACTCTGCTGCTCTGTTTGTACACTGCACCCGAAGTGTGTCCAAGCCTCTTTGGGAAACCAAAAAAAAACCTCCGAGCTGTGGTTGGTCACCCCTTCTCCTTCACTGCTCTCTCTGGTTAACTCTTCTCTTGCAAGGCTCTGTGTACTGCAGATCCGCTGCATACTCCGTGTTCTCTGCCCTAGACGGTTACTTACTAATGACACAATTATGTATAATTTCTCCCACCCATCCACTTGCACCCAAATTGGAACTCCTTCTTCATCCCACCACTTTTCCCCTGGTCGCCCTCGAGATAATTTTTTTTAATTTTCAGCGGTTGTGTTGTCGACTTTGCAGAAACAGCTGCGGGATCTGGCAGAAGGAAGGGAGAGCGGTGGCGAGGTGTAGAGGCAACAAAGACATTGGCTCGGTTCGCTTCTGACCCTCGGCCGCCCACTCCATTGCGGCGCACATTCCACATTCCCGTTGCGCTGGGGACCAATCTCCCCATAAGAAAGGCTCACCAAGTGGTGCTCTTTTTACGAATGCCAGAGGGACGATTGTGAACTGAAGGTTTTAACCGCTGCACTGCTGGGCTGGGCCCTGCGTGAGTGCTGGGTTATGTTGTGCTTGGCCCTGCAGGGGGGGGGGGGATATTGTTGTATCAGCATCCTACCCTCCTCGCTGCATGGCCCAGCGCACATCCATTTCCAAGCAAATTGTCAAACGCACCCTCCACCTGTGTTCAAATGTGAAACCACTGGAGCGACGCCAAGCGTAACCATTTTTCCAAAACTAAATTTTTCCCCTGCCCTCTCTCTCAGGCTATTGAGATTTCATTGTTTTGCAATTCTTTTCAAAGCGGCTGCCACCCCTGTAAATTTAACCCCGCTGCAGGTTTAATTTTTGGACATTTTACTCTACAGAATGCTTATTTTATTTAAATGTTTTTTTCCCGTCTAAATGAGGTAACGAGAGTCGATCTCGATTTTATCTCGCGCTGTATTTTGAAATTTTCGTAATCAATTTTTTTCTTATCGTGCTATTCAGCAATCAGTAAGTTGGACTTTTTTTACGCAAATGAGAGTTCATCATCAGTGCGCGGAAGAGCGATTGCTACAGGTTTAAGTAACCTCCATGGCACCTCGTTATACATAAGTGATCTGTGTATAAAACTGCTGCGATGATTGTCGCGTAAGTGACTCAAGGGTTACTGCAATCAAATTCAATTCAAAGTGTTCTATCCTCATGCGCAATTGAGTGTCGGGTGTCACTTATCTCCACTGGTAGCTCCGAGCCGCTGGTCGGAACCCGCGTTTGATTTGCGGGGAGCCGGTCTTTATAGGGCAAACGCTGTGCCACAAAGCGGCGATCGTTTTATCCACCTCTGTGGGGTTGATGAACCTGTCGGCCCACGCAGTGCGAACGAAGCACTGTGCCACAGCGCCACGCTAATATCGGTATTCATAAAAGTAGTCTCTTCCATAGATAGAGCTCTGGGAATATATCATCCTTCGTGAAGTAGATCTCTGTGGTGATTGAATGACGCTTGAGGCACTCACATCACGTTGCGCTCTTTTCTACATTTCCGCCCTGTTGAGTAGTTCTCTGCGTGGATGTGAGCTGCAGCTTGTTGGCTTCACTATAAAATGCACTTCAAAAACACTCGTCACTGTCCAGTTCCCATATTTATAGTTGACAATGCCCTGATCGATAATAAGTTGTTGCCTCCCTCGTGAACTCTGCACTGCCAAAACAGATTAGCCGTGAAGCGCACAGCTTCATATTTACTCATGTGGTTCTTCTCCGTGGATACCTCTGTGCGCAAGTCTGTTTTGTTGGGTGGCCCTGCGGCGAGAGTGCGGTCGATTCAGCCGCGATTGGGCCAGCCGCGATGTTTCCGGTGACGATACAATTAGCATATCTTTGTATGAAGTCGGCAGTGTCTGTCCCAGTGTATGTGCTCTACCATAGGGACGTGGAATTTCCACCGATGGCGATGAGCGATTCCGCACTCTCAATCGGGCACTTTGACTTTGTGATTTTATTGCAGAACTCTGACACTGGTCTGTAAACATAGCCTGGTATCCCAAAATATAATATGTACGCCTTGCGGTAAATATTCCTGCGTAGTTACATGCACGGGTAAAGGATTGGTAAATAGTAATGATTTATTGCTCTATTAAACATAGCAATACAAGCGGGAATGCTGTTGGACTGGACGTATGCCATGGGATTCTGGAAAAGCGCCAGTGCGACATAATTAGCGAGAGTAAGTCACCTAATTGAGTCGTCCGTGTAAACTTTTATTCGAATGCATCCGGTGACAGGTAGTTAATCAAATGCGTGCATACAGGCTACGATTCCACTTGCACTCCGACGCGCTCTCGCGACTGCTGTTGCAGCTCGCCGTAAATTGAACGTCGCTTGTTTCCGATGCTTTACAGTCGCACCATTAACCGGCTAAGGTAATGAACAAATAGGTGAAGCTCAGGAGCTCTTCCGACCTTTTTTTATGGTGTGCGCTCAGAGGGCCGTGAGCTCGAGGAGATGGAGTAAGATGTTTGGATTTGTGGTGGACAAATGCCCCCCCTCCCCCCCACCCGACGCAGATGCATATTAAAGGGCATCTAGAACTTCACAGGTTTGCGGGATTATACCAATGGTACTTGCAGACAAACTCATCCACCCAGAGGGTTTTGTGAAATCGATGGAAGTGC